ATGGTGATCTAGCTTCAATTGACTCATGATTCCAACCAGTGAAATATCGTGAGAAATGCTAAATTATTTTTAAATATAGAAATTTAAAATTCCTACGGTTCTACACATCATTAAAAAAATATAATGAATAATTTAATTTATTCATTGAATTGAACTTTGATCGTTTGTTTGATTACCTTTTAAAAAAAAATCAATGTTACACTTATGATCAGTGATGGGCTAACATCAATCGGTTAATGACCTTAATCAAAAATATAATAATCTCTACAACCCCATACTAATAAAAAAATTTAATCTAGTTAACTCCAACAATATTGGTATTCAGTGATTATAGTTATCGTATTAATGTACTAGAATTATTTGGATTTTGTTTAAAAGTAATGAACGGTTGATGGTTAAAATATATTACTTAACAGTGTTTAATTTTTAAACAAATTATATTTATTTTGTATAATTGATTTCCTAAATTGAGTTTATGATATAGATACTCGTAATGTTGAACTTGTGTCTAAAGTTAGATATTAACATCATTGGATCGCGGCCGGTTCATTGGTCTTGGAGTTAAGCGTTCCCGCGCGAGATTGATAAGTTATGGGTCCGAATCTCATGCGAGCGAGATTGTGAATGTGCGCTGCTGAGGAATCCCACAATAGGACGAAACGGTTGTCCAGTTCTTCTAGGTTTTCTATGGTGATCTAGCTTCAATTGACTCATGATCTCAACTATTGAAATAACTATAATGCCCACAAAACCCCCTTCCGAAAAGTAATATTCATTGTCTTTATTATTTCAAACACCGAAATAATTAAGTCATATCTAGTAAATTTCACACAATTTGAAAGTAAAACAGTAATTGTTAAACAGTTCTGATCAATGGTAAATTTAATAATATTGAAAATATGAATTGTTGGGTTACAATTCAGTAGTCAAAATATCCTATTCTTGTCATAAGACCTAATGATCCCTGATTTAATTATTATTATACTTAGGAGTTATACTTAAATTAATGAATATTTATTTGAATTGTTTTCTTGTATTGGATTAACAAGTTGGTATTAGTTGGATGAAATAGTGAGTGAATTGATTGCTTAGGGAACTATTTTATCAACTGTTTGTGATCTTTATTACTACACAGCTTCTTTTGTGTTTTCAGTTTTTGTGTTCACTAAAACTTTATAAGATCTAATCAGGAGTTGGTTCACATTGAATTCAAACAAATAACATTTTGGCAAAATCGTTAAACGTTTTTTTCTTAAACCATGAAACGTCCTACGTAAAATTTGTTAAAGATTGTTTAGTAGCTGGTTATAGTTTGATGAAAGGGTTACAAACAAATTTAGAAGTGTTTATTAATGGATTCCAGCTCAATGATATATATCATTTGAGCTCTAGGAGGTAAACCTAAAGATCATGTATTGAAAACGTTATAGGCTAGTATAAAACGCGCTGTTGAGGAATGTCATATTACGAAAAAATAACTGTCCAGTGTTCTTCATTTTTGAAAGCACTTTAATCGTGATCATTCTCTGATGAATGTCATCTATATAATGACTGATTGATTCATATCTGAAGTAATATTTACTTTTTAAAAGTCATGCATATTTATATATGAACGACTAGACTGACTAACTATGACTTTATTTCCAATGATTTTAATATGTATATTAATTGTGTTTGTCAATGATATTCATCTATACATATTACATAGTTACATATAAACAAGGTATCTTACTAACAAACTTTTATGATTAATCATTGTAGATTTTATGTTGACATGTAACTGAACTAGATACTGCTTTTTCACTTTTTCAATAACCTTTGTCTTATAGTTATTTCACTTACAAATAATACATTCTGTCTACATTTAAAAATGACCCTGTTTATTAAAAATAATTAATCTTGTTAATCCATAAGTTAATCTAAATTGTTCGATGTAGAGAAAAGTTTAAAAAAATATTAGTTTTATTTATTTTTCAAAATTTGAAGTGTAAATATACCATTCTACGATCGTTTACATTTTTCTTATAAACTTGTTTGATAAAACAAATAATATATATAGTAAATATTTAATTGTATTGTAGTGAATGAGATTAGATGATGGTTGGAGGTAGTCGACAGGAAACCCTGGACCGCCAGGTAGCACCAGTTCCTTCAAGATTACAGGTACACCTTGCTGACGAGTGCCAAGCAGCACGAAACCCGGGTCTAGGGTTTCCTGTCGACTACCTCCAACCACCATATAATCTCAATACATAGTGCCCGCAGTGTCGAGTCACCTAGACTGGTGGCCACATTGCAACATGGTCGATAGCATTCGATCTGCACTAAATAAGGACTTGACACGCATGACACTGATCACCACCCAGTGATCAATCAATTGTGTAGTGAATGAGAACACACATATGTGGACAATCGAATGTATTTCAATACAAAATTACAGAATATCTTAGCGAAATCTGTGAATCATACGGTAAATTTTTCATTTGCAATATATTAATCAGTTGTCTCAAACTTGACTATTCCTTCTGCAAAATATCAATCAATCTTCTTAGACTTTATTATTCTTTCATTTCCACATCAATCAATCACTGTTATCGTTCTCTTTCCTTCGATCTTCTTAACCTTCTGTCATTTTCAATTGATGATACATACTACTTATATCTGTCGACATCAGTAGCACACACCATAATACCCTTGAATGTTTTATCTTGAAACTAAACTGAAAATTGCTAGGTATATCTTAAAATATTCAAATAAAATACAGAATGGAATTTGTTTGGTGTCTGAGACTGAATGTAGAGTAATAGAATTCTGAAATAATATAATAAACATAAATTCTTTGTATTTAATGAATGTCAAACTAAAGGATACCTTGTAATTAACATGGTTTTCTGCTACAAACAATCCAACTATGTATAACCATATGATACGAAGATTCTATGATTAACAGTTATATTTTATATAACCATAAATAAACCATAAACTTATGACTAGTTATTTTGAGTTCTGAACATTAAGTCACCTTAATTCTTTACCTCACAATTATCACTATGAAAGTGAAATTTCTTAGATTAAAGTGTTTCAGATGTTTTCTGGATCGGATTTTATAACTTGTAGATATATAACACTGGAACAAGTTATTTCACTTCTAGGGAAATCCTTATAATAAATAGTGAAGTACTTTTTTCAATTTTATTCTTCTCAACTACTTAGATGCATCGTTTACTTTTTATTACATTTTTATTAGTAATTTAAATAATTAAATATTCTATCCAAAAGTAAATCTGGGTTATGGACTATTCAAACATAAAGAATACTGGAATGAACAATCGTTTTCAGTAACTTCATTATCAGACTCGACATATGTATACATTCTTATTTATAATAGTAAAAAGGCCGAATTATGTCATGTTAGTGAGTTAGATAAAGTTATGTAGTGGAAAATGGTGAACTTTTGAATATTTGCGGGTACAAATACTTCGAAACTGCATCATTTATACATTAAAAAGATTAATTTGTGAAAGGTTAGAGGAACTCATTATGAAGAGTCAAAATACAATCAACATAATAATAAAATAAGTCATGTGAATAAAACACATAGTACAGAAAATTTTCTCTGGTTAATTAAGGTACTAATAACAACAATAATAATGTTAATAACGTATCGTGAATATACTACGTAATAGGAGAGGTGTTGTTAGGATAATTATGATGAGAAATTCGTGTGAATTTGAAAAACACATCTGTAAGTTGAAAATGGAACAGAGCAGATATAAAAATAATGTAGTGATCTAGTTGTTGGTCAAGGTAAACGTAGAGGCTGAATATACATCTTCTGGATGTATAAGTCAGGTCTTCAGGTGATCACAATGGCTCTATTTATTTACAGGAATTGTATTCTTGATCCTTTAGGTTGATTATTTTGAGTTTAATATAAAACCAAGAAGCTCTTATTTACTTTGATATGACATTCGCAATCTACCGAACTAGAAGGGCGACACTGTCAAAGGATATCGTAGCACCTCTTCTCAAACTTACTGGATAGTATAATTGATTTTTTTGTAGCATTATGTAACTGTTAGTTTATTTGTAATTCCTTTTTGGGTGGTGTGAATAAAGCAACTACTCAAAGGAGAATAACTAAATTAGTTTCGCTTTCAAGTTTGAAGCTATCGTGTCGAATCTTTGAAATTGTCCCGATGTTATTGATTAAATTTATTCATATGATTAATAGTGCGACTAGTTTCACATTTCTATTGGTGTCGTAATTAATTATTAAGGAAACTGCTATTGGTCAAATACATGAATCTTTAAAATATATCAACTAACCTACCGTCAATAAAATTACTCGACAACATTCAAGCCAATAATATTTTCAATCTCATTTAGCAAATAATGTCTTTTCGGAAAAATCAAAAGTCAGACAGTTATTTTGAATAAAACTAAGCATCATCTTGTTTTGTCATGGAATGAATATAATGAATAATGGATTTTAATTCAGTAGTATTGAAAGTTTAAAGTTTAATACGAATCCTTTAGGTTTTAGTTTCATTCGAATAGAGGTTCATGAATGCTCACTGATTTTTTGAATTTTTATTATTCATCAAACGATATTAATCTATTGCAATTACACTTTATAAGCAAAGATGGATGGTGACCTGCAGTGAAATCCAGGATGCGCGTTCCGTCCTATTTGTGACTCATAAGATGGATGTACTTGCATCTTAAATAGGACAAAATGCGCGTCCTGGATTCACCTATTAGCCACCATCCATTTTTGCTTATAGTACTTGTGACTTAAAGCAATATTGAGACAACCCTTACAGGATGTATATATGCCGATATGAGATTGATCAATTACAGTTCTGAGCATCAAATAAACAGTACAAAATGAATCATACAACTGGTTTATTATAATTGTTGTAAATGCTTTTTAATGTTTGTTAAATGTTTCACTGAAATATACTTAACTTTTTTTCTTTTGTATTGTTTTATTTTAGTGTTTATCAAATTTCCAAAGTGCCAAATGTTCATTCATTCATTATGTTTATTATGTGAAATAATAATCATTTCAATAACAGTAATAATTCCTAAATGTTTTTGTCTTATGGGAAGTCCTCCAACAAATTTACCGGAATGTTTGAATTTTGGAACAAGAACCACTATTAATGAACGTTACAGGTAAACAAGGTATTTTTTTTAATACCGATTAACTAGTTTCAATTTTTTCTTTTTTATTCATATTCTAAAATAATTTTCTGGAAATCAATCATAAACGATTGAATGATGAAACTTTGAGATGTTATTTTGGTGTATAATTAAAAAGGTGGTATATACTTGTATTACATGTTTGAGCTGACTTTTTAGTGGCTCGAGATCCTACTTCAGGTAGATCGTTTCTGATTATTATTGAAATATACAAGTCGCCAATCCTCTTAATATAAACATTGACTTAAATCACGTTGGTGAATAACGGAATTAAATAAGTTAAATACGAGAATGAATTTTTGAATACCTATATTTTTTACAATCGTTGATCAGAATAGACAATCAGAGAGACGTAGCGAAGGAAGCGAAGAGGATAGATAAAAGTGAAGTGGAATCATGCGCAGTGGAGAAGACGTGGGAACCAACTCGATTTAGTCAAACGTTAATCAATATTTATAGTCACACAAAAATAAATTACATACATGCGATGAACTGGATAAGAAGTGCACACACATACGCTCATATAAAAAGTCAAGGTTGATAAGAGAATAATTGGAAAGGTCAAAATGTGACTCAAAGAGAATGAGTAAATTGGCTTGTCCGGAAGCTAGAATAAGCTATGTGGGCTTAACATAGCAACTGACACTAGAACTTACATTATCTAACATTATCTAACACATAAAAAATGCTATCATCATCTAATGATAATAGCTATTACCGAATCATACACAGGTGACTGCAGCTTTCTTTATGTAGAAGATAACATTGATGACGTATTGCTATTACTAGAGGATTAGGTAAGCGGTTTGATAAATAATTTTCTTGACTGAATGTTTAATTATTTAGATAAGAATGTAAGAAAATATTTTATATATTCTAAGTTATCGAATTATCATAAGCTATATCATACAGAAATGTAGCTTTGAAGAAACAGATAGAAACAGTACAACTTATTCAAGTTCACATTAATTGTATGAAGCCTAGTATAATATAGAAGTAAATATCTTTGGTTTTGAATAAATATGCATCAAAATTTCATTAGAAAATCTAGTTATTCAATAAGAAGTCATTTAGATAAATGAAAGTTTTTTTTCGAAATCTCTTCAGTTTAACGATATTATCATATCAATCGATTAATATGTACTTGTTCAAAAACTATTCTACCTATTTATTGATCTTGAGTGCTGTTCGAGGTACGAGGGCAGTTATTACTTCCCGATTATCCACACCGTGGAAGGATCCTTTTGGAGGTATCTTACAAGGAAATTGGGTTAGAGGTGGTCTTAGTGACCTGAGAGCGTGACCGCAGTGCCCAAAGGATAACTGCTTGAGGTTGGTCGCACACGACTTTTTCGTTAGTAATTTTCGTATTAGCTCCGTACTTGTTGAGACGTCACCTATGGCGAAGGCGAGATATCTGTCTCTCAACTAAAGGACGAGTATTCTGTGCGTCATTTCGTTATGTTCTATTTTATGGCTGCGAAACGTGGCCACTAAGAGTAGAAGATTCTCGTAAGTTGCTAGTATTTTACCACAGATGTCTTAGAAATGTCTCTCGCACTTTCTAGGATCACCGGGTAAGTAATGATGAAGTTAGATGCAGAGTATTAAGTAATAATGGTGAATCAGTTGATGAGGTTGTTAATGTACATTGACTGAGATAGTTGGACCACGTGTTACTCATACCTGACCACCTATTACCACAACGCGCAATGACGAATAGTGTTGGGGATGGTTGGAAGAAAGTTAGGGGCGGCCAAACCAAAACGTGACATCAGTGCTTGAAGACACTAACTTCTAGTCTGAGGCATGTTAGTAGATGCAGACTACTTGGTTGGGATCCGCTTGACTATCGTAATAAGTGGTTGGAGACTCTTGGTGACATGGCTCAGAATCGATGACAGTAGCGTACGTGTATACACTCCCTGTCTTCCCTTAAACTATGAGATTAAGTTCGCTTTATGTCCTTTTTTATACGAACTAATTCTTTCTTCCTGTACTATGTTCTTATATGCAATATTTCTTTTATATGTTACCACCACTTAATTAATTACTTTTATGAATTCGGTGTTCATCTTGTTGTGCTAATGAGGTATGGTAACTTGGACCGATGCATACATGTGTCTGGTCACACGTCGTAGCTGACTGATCTAACTATTTCATTTAGATTTATCTAATAGCATAACTGGATTGCATAAAAAGTGTCCTTTATGACAGTTTTTTTAAACACGTTGAAGAAGTATGATGCTGTAAATCGGGGATATTAATTTAGCTATAACGAAATCTTGAAATATCATGAACAAATTAGTATACTTTTTTATTTTCTAATCACATCCATCATTTCTGGTTATTTTTAACTTGAAGAGATTAAAACCAATTACTTAATTTGAATGGATTATTTATTCACATTGAAATGTAGTGAATTTACTTAATTTCAGGTTTCATTTCACATGAGTATTCTTCCAAACAAGTAATATATATGGTTTTTGATTGAGATCATTAACCGATTGATGTTAGACCACCATTGAAAACCTGAAGGCACTGGATGGCAGTTTCGTTTTATTGTAGGACTCCTCAGCAGTGCGCATCCACGATCCCAGGGCCTTCCGTCTCGCGCGTGAACTTTTAACCTACTGGACCTCTGAGCTGACATCCAATAGTCTTAAGGTCTAACCTGGGTTCCATCCCCACCAGCGGGACCGTGGAAGTGCGATACTGAGGAGTCCCATAGGAGGACGAAACGGCCGTTCAGTGCTTCCAGGTTTCTAGTGGTGGTCTAACATCAATCGGTCCATGATCTCAATCAAAAACTTAATAATCTCCACAACCCCTATACTGATAATATATGTGTTTTAAAATTGAAAAAAGGGCATGTATACAATTTATATTTTTACATTAATATATAAAGAACTTTGTTAAATGTTCATCTGAATTAGATAGAAGATCAGAGGGATAAAGTTGATTAGGAAAGTTAAAGTAAGACTTTTACACTGTTGAAAAGATGGTTTATTAGGTTCGCTCATGGTAATTTACATTATATTCATGATATCAAACTTGAATATCAACTTAAAGTTAGGGATTCCAATCTTTATGACAGGCATGACTTACTATGAAAACTTGACTTTTTCAGTATGAAGCAATTAATCCTTAGAGAAAATCATCTAATACCCTTATTTATGTGTAAAATTTGTCAATAATTAACTTTATTCTATAGTTAGCATTACATTTTACCTTTTTTAACCATATCAATCTATTTTTGTTTTTTAATCAGTTGTTCATGTATAGATTCTTATATGAATCGACAATGTAAACTTTTGTCGATTAATGTTGCCAATACTCCGATAGAAATGCCTTTCACTAGTTTTTATATTAATACAACAATTCAACAAACTGTACATATTGGTTTTCAATTTATCACTTCAGACAACAGTGGAAATGGTACACTGTTTACACTTAGAAATATGGTAAGCTACTATGTATTGATCACTTATATTGTCTTAAAAATAGTTTCGTTGTTTAGTTATCCTAACTGTTTATTTTTTATGATCTCTGTTAAAAAATTAAAAAAAACTAAGCTTTTTTGAAAACAAGCTGATAATAATGGGCTGAAATTAAATTAGTGAAAATAATGAATGAAAATGCTTACATTTTAATTCATGATGTTCAGTTCCAAATGGTTATGTTAACTGTTTCATTGAGTGTACGATGCCACCAAATACCCTGGTACGAAAAGCGAATGTCCAGCGTTTTAACCGGGTTGGTGGATACGAATAGTCAACCTAGGGGAGTTGGAAAACCCTGATTCCAAACCAATGGTGCACATCGGCTCCAGGATCTTGAGGGAACAAATGGCATAGGAACTAATTGATGGTCACTGGCTACCATGGGACTGCATCTCCTGACGTTGCTCCACTGCCTTGTAGATCGGACTCTTAGGTCGAAGACTCCTTTTATGGCCACATAAGAAGACCACCTGCTTCGGTCTGGGCACCAGGACATCATCACAGCCCACACACAAATCAATTGACTTGTGCGGCGCATATGTATTTGGTGCTCCTTACTACCAATGTTTATGTGTTTAAATAAATAAATAAATAAATAAACAAATAAAACGATATTTGTCAGTTTCGGTTTTACTGGATAACAACTGCATATGTTATCTAGATATATGAACTTCAAAATTCAATAAACTAAGCATTTTAACTTAGATATATAAAACTTCTAGTAGGTAATTACAGTTAAAAATAAATAGTAACTCGGTCTTCCTTCATTACTTCATGGATGATAATGATTCAGTCACAATTGATTGATCACTGGATGGCGATCAGTGTCATGCGTGTCAAGTCCTTGTTAGTGCAGATCGAAAGCTAACGATCATGTTGCAATGTAGCCACCAGTCTAGGTGACTCGACACTGCGGGCACTATGTATTGAGATTATATGGTGGTTGGAGGTAGTCGACAGGAAACCCTGGACCCGGGTTTCGTGCTACTAGCTATCCGAGCCGCGATAGCTCAGTGGTAACGTCTCTGACTGTGAAGCTGGGTGACACGAGATCGAATCCTCCAGGGAGCACCAGTTTCCTCAAGATTACAGGTACACCTTGCTGACGAGTGCCAAGTAGCACGAAACCCGGGTCCAGGGTTTCCTGTCGACTACATCCAACCACCATCTAATAATGATTCAGCTTTATTTGTGATTATCTACATAAAGTAAAAATATATCTAGTAGTTTTATGGAATTATTTTTAAATAATACCTAACAATCATTATAGGTTAATAGTTATAACAAAAGATAATACTTTACGAATAACTGGAGATTAAGGTTTATCACTAAAAAAATCAACCATAGATACTTTTCATGTAAACTGTTTCGAAAACATATATTTCTTTTCAAACATTATAAATGACCATATTTCTGATAAAGTTAAATGTAAAGTGTATCATTTAGGTTAAAAAAACCCTGTTGTTTTATATGATGAATTTACTTTGATTTGTCCCAATCTTTGCTTCTACCTTGACGTGGTGGTTGGGGTTGCCTATTGTAATGAACCAATCGGATTATACTGGCTGGAACAATCGTTCCTACCGTGCTAGACAGGTCGGTTGAAGAACAGTAAGACTAAAAGCAGCAAACCCAAGGTCCGAAGGCGAAGTCGTACTGTTGGCTATACAGAAGTGTGACGACAGTAATGTGTTTCCTTCAGACAACCAGCATGACAGTGATGCTGCCTTCTCACAAGGAGGGGTAGGGTTAGATAAAGTCGACCTTAATGATGTACACCTCGCATTACCTAACGAATATCCGTCCCCGGCGGTAGGATCTTAACATTGAAGGAGCTAACACGAAAATTACTAACAAAAAGGTCATGTGTAACCGACCTCAAGCAGTTGTCCCTTGAGCACTGAGGTCACACTCTCGGGTCTGTAAGACCATCTCTAACTTGATTTCCTCCTCAGGTACCTCCAGAAGAACCCTTCCACGGTGTGGATAACCGGGAAGTGATAACTGCCCTCATACCTTTAACAGCACTCAAGACAGACTGACTTTGACTTGTATACTTATCGATGGTGTTCTTTTAATTTGCCTCTAATTACCGAATTCGTAATATAACTTAAGGTGTACATATGAAATAACATGATTAGTTAGTCTTTTGACAAGCAAAATAGATTTTGTGGTTTTCAACTGGTTTACATTATATAATAATGTACAGAATGTTTTTGTTACTGGAAGTAATTTACTTCATATGTCGATAAGTATATAATCTAAGTCAAACAAAGATATAAGAAAATAACAAGTATAGTCATAGCTTTTAAATATGTCATCGGTGTCATTGTTTTGCAAATATTTTGCCTTATATGATATATCAGTTCTAAAACAACGAAAATATAATTCTATTTGATGCTTAATTAGAACAATTAGCTGTCTTAAATTTATAAATGCAATAGGTTAAAAGCATAATTAATTTTCAATAGACCAATTAGGCATATTTACTATTTGAATTCGCGCATAATCATAGTAAGATAAATATTGTTCAATGGTAGATAACTTCTTATGTGTTTGCTTTGAGTATATGAACATTATAAGTTACCATATGCTTATGAAGTAATTATGACTTATTATCTATCATATTCAAAGAATATTTTTCATTACAAAGACTTATTGAATGAAAACAAAAATGCACTGTTGAGCAGATTCATCCAAGTTGTTGATATTGTAGATCATATAGCTACGAATATTCGTCAAAATTTGTAAGTATAGTTAGAAATTAGACCTCGAGTATATAGAAGATATTTTTATAGAAACTATATTTGAACTGCTTTCAGGATTGTATTTTCGGGCAAATTATTTATTGTAGCTTAATATAACTGAGAATAAATGCAATTCTGTATAACTGAGGTATTTTCGCGTAGAGATTTTAGTTAATAAAAGCCTTTTTATTACTGTCATAATAGCAACTGAGACATATTTCATATACTAACTTTTTAATTTCACATCAAAAATGATTCGTATACATTTCACTACGTTTTAGTTAAAAGTCAACCGAATAGGAATTCGGACAACATACTACTGATGATATTCGACGATGGTCAGCCTACGTCATTTCGTTATTGATATGCATGATCATTAATACATTGTTAAATCTTAACTAGTACTTTATAATGTATTTATTAATTGGATTCATGAGTCAATCAAAGATAGACCACCATTGGAAAGGTGGAAACACTGTACGACCGTTCCGTCCTAGTGTGGGACTCTTAGCAGTGAGCATTCACGACCGCGCCTCGAGAGATTCAAACCTAGGACCTGTCAGTCTCGCGCACGAGCGCTTGACCACGAGACCGCTGAGCCGGCATCAATCTGTGTTAATGTTTAACTTCAACCAATTCACAAAATTGCACCACTGTCCACCATTGTCTTCAGTGGCTTATTACCTAATAACAGACCCAGTTGAACTTCACTTGTCACGTGTTCTCACTAAAACTTTAATAAATACCTTTTGAAGCCAGTCACTAGTGAGCATATGATGTCCTGCGAGTGAAACCGATAGGTCCTTAGTTCGAATCTCGTTAGCGGGATCGTGGATGCGCACTGTTGAGGAGTCTCTCACTAGGACGAAACGACCGTTCAGTGCTTCTAGGTTTTCCATGGTGGTCTAGCTTTAATTGACTCATGAATTTAATTGTTAAACGACTATAATATCCACAGAAAGCACCCTTTCTGATTAAAATGTAATTTGTTTCCTATAAATTCATAAATATTCAGAATATTTCATAATTTAACCTTTTATATATATTTTATTGTAAAATTAAATGATAATTTTCCAGAATCCAGGTAAATATTCTTTCAGTGACAGTGTTAAATTGTTTATTGTATTTGATTTTGCCATACTTTACAATATGTCATAATGTTTCATCAAAACAAATAGAATAGATAGGGATAATAATTAGTAATTGAATTAAATTAATAAATATCTATTATATGGTATTATCTATTGCAGAGATATCTCTAAATTGTTATTATTTATTAGTGTGTATGTTATTTTCTTGATTCTTCATGTAACTGATAGTGATACGATATTGATACTGTATTTTTGTCTCCTTTAACTTTGACAGATGACAAAATGTTTTATAATAAAAGAAAGTTAAAGTTTGATTGTTTATGTAATTAGATGATACGTTCTAGTGTTTCTAAAGAAGAAAATGTATCCAAGTTTTTATACAGTAAAGTAGACCTGAAGAAAAAAAGTAAAATACGTAATCCATTGAGATGGTGGAGAAGGTTTGTAGTTCAGGTGGATGATTTTGATGGACTTTTGTTCATTGAGCTGGATGGTTTGGTTGTGGAGCTTTCATCGTTCTTCTGAGCGACATCATCGGTACAAACTTCAGGTAGAAGTGAAGTCGTTGAATTTCTCCACATATAGTTCACCGCTTATTCTGTAGACCTCGATGACACGTTTAAGGTCAACAGTAACAAATCAACATCCAGGTCTACTGGACAAGCTATGAGCCATATGTGGAGAAATTCGAACACTTCAATTCTACTTGAAGTTTATGCTGATGATGTCGTTTAGATGAACGATGAAAGCTCCACGACCAAACTATCCAGCTCGGAGAACAAGACTCCATCAAAATGTGTGATCCGTATTTTATAAGTCTGTTAAGATGAATTTAAATCGTTTATGGTTCCACATTACCAATATAAGATTATTTTTCCCTGATAAACGATATCTTCTATAACAGTTCTATGAAAATTGAAGGTTAAATATGTCACTATTTTGATTGCATTTTACTCTTTTTTTCAACACCGAATATTATTGTTTATTAGAAAAGTCCAACAAAATAAGTGGCTGAAACATTTGATAGTAAATTGAAAAACCTTTTATCTGGTCAAAGCTATTCTTCAGGTTTATGGTATCTATCATTGAAGGAATATTAAGATGACTTGTAACAAATTTAAAATAAGATTAGAATGAACTCAACTTAATGGTTTGTTTCTAAAATCTGTTAAAAGTAATGCGTATGAGCTACTAACGCAAGTAGTTAGTTAAGTAGTTAGACAATGGATATTTATGCAGTGAGTTTTAATATTTTTCTGATTTTGTGTTGCAACAAAGTTTATCAGTCTATACATGCTGATTAATTTCTCATTGTTCATCCAGCCATTATTCGTCTATAGATATCTATACTTATTTCAATGGAAAAGTCAAATTGAATATTTATGGAGTTGTTACTTGTGTGAAATGGTATTCACTAATAAGGATTTCCTAATACAAATAGTTCATCATAAAAAATTGAAAGTTATGTATTCAAACTTAACAAATATCTCAATTTATAAAAAATAATATATTTTGAATGTATTCTTTAGTGGTCTTGTATATCTGGCTTCAATTTGATCGTATATATGATGTAGAAATATGCATATCATCAATCCTCGTATATAATTATTGACTTAATTCGGGTTAGTGAGTGACGGAATTAAATATGTCGAATACTAGAATACATTTCAAATAAATATATTTCATACAATCTGTGATCCCGACAGAATATCGGAGAAGCGAAGAGAAGAGAGCGAAGCAAAATGACGCGCAGTGGAGAAGGCGTGTGAACCAACTCGATTTAATCAAGCGTTAATCAATATTTATCATCACACAAAAATAAGCTAGAGACATGTGATAAGTAGGATAAGAAGTGTACACAAGGTTGATAAGCGAATAATTGGAAAGGTCAAAATGTGACTAAGAATAGTGAATAAACTGATCTGTTCAGAGGCTACAACAACCTATGTGGGATTGCATAACAACTGACACTACAATTCCTTAATAATTACCAATTTTTGATTGAGATTATTTTTCGATTGATTTTAGACCACCATTGAAAACCTGGAAGCACTTGATGGCCATTTCGTCCTAGTATAGGACTCCTCGGCAGTATGCATCCACGATTACGCACGCGTATCCTGGATTCCACTGCTAGCCACTATCCATCTTTGCTCATAAAATTCTCATTCTGTTCGCAAGCATTTGGAATACATACGAATATTCTGCGGTAACTATAATGTGTATTCAGTGTAGACTAAATTTACGGAAGTATGAATTAGTTTACAGTTCTCTGCAGGTGGTGATTTCGCAAACTTTGACAATAATTTGTTACTGGCTAGTGATAACTGGTTTCATTTGTTTAGCAATTCAGATGAAAATGAGCCATTTAGGTCTGTAGTTGAAATCACGGACTGATCTCATTCAGACCACCATGGAAAATAAAAAATCTGTATAGCCGTTTCGTTCTCATATGGGACTCTTATACAATGAGTATTCGCGAACCCTCAGTTGGTAGCCAAACTCGAGTCTCCGGTTTCGTGAGCAGATGCTCAACCTCTAAACCACTGGTCCGACGTCGAACGGTATTAATGTCTAACTTCAAACAATTTACGATATTTTTAAACCCCTATGTTTTTTCTGAGGTGCTTTAGCTCACTAGAATTGAAGGAGTGACTAGTGAGCACACGATTTTTATTAGTATAACAAGATTGTGGAAGTTTTAGGTTTTCATAGTTTCGATCATGAAGCAGATTTCCACCACATCAAATGTAAGACAGATGTCCACCACAAATAACTCATATGGGTTGCACACATGGGTTGCTCATATGGGTTTGAAGTTAGACATTAATACCGTTCGACGTCGGACCAGTGGTTTAGAGGTTGAGCATCTGCTCACGAGACCGGAGACTCGAGTTTGGCTACCAACTGAGGGTTCGCGAATACTCATTCTATAAGAGTCCCATACGGGAGCGAAGCGGTTATCCAGTTCTTCTTGAGTTTCTCTTAGTGTTATTACCAAGGGTAATTAGTGGTTTAGATTGTGATTATGTATGTATATCGAAGCACTGTTTATGGTAGAATGGAATAAATAAAATCTTTGAAGATTGATGTATTGTTAATTCTTTTTTTTTACAGAATTCCACATTTTTTTTAAATGAACAACTAATCCAAATCAAAGTTTCCCTTGAATTTGGACGAATTAGTGTACATTTCATTTATCTATCAAATTCAAAAACTCTTCGTTTACCTTCAGGTGCTGTTGCACTAAATGACAATGCTTGGCATTATGTAGATTTTTTTCTGAATACACAGGTAATATTTTAGAAAGTGGACTGGTTTTTTTCACTGATTTTGGTCAAATAGGATTAGATTCAAATAGCAAGAATAATGCTGGGACCTGGTTCTCAGTAAAACTAAACTGATTCCATTTAACTTGTTACATGATCCTGTTAGTTGTGTATACTGGTTTATTTTTTGACACAATAAAATAATATCGGAGTAATGTAGGGAGTGAAGATATATGAATTGTAGGTTTAATTATTTTTCTCATAACGAAGTCAACAGTTGCTGAATAAATATTTCTAAGCTATATCAGTTTATTGCATGCTATTATGAGCATGGAGCACAGCTAGTGTACATTGAACAAGTCATTTGTTCTCGATTAGTGTTGTCCATAGATCATTCTCTGCAGATTTACTTTTTATAAATGTAACTTAAGATTTAGACATCTGAAAATGATTACCTTAATGTTGATACATTTAAATCAAAACCAATGATAATAATTAACTATTGCTCTTGATCATTTATTTTGAAGAAATAAACTTTTGAGTAATGATGTAAACCCAAACCGAGTTCAGTTTTAAGTGATAACTCTTAGAATTACTAGGGAATGTGTTCATCCGACGTTTTGATACATCAAATAAATATTGAGTCGGATAATTTAGACTGAAATTCACTGACCTTTGAATGGCGTATAAAATCTGTGACTTTCAATCGCTTATGTCTTAATTGGCTTTAAATAATATTTATTCATATGCCTAATATTTTATATATAAGCATACAATTTCAGTTAATGGTCCAGCTTTAAAATTAATCCATTTGGTGTTTTTGTCAATGATTCCGGATTATAAGAAGTCATTACTCGTTCACATAATATAACTGTGTTCGCTCATTGATTAGGATTTCATTCACTTGAGTTAATAGTTTTCAAATCTTGTATTATTAACCAATTCGGAACACCAGATAAATAATTCTATTCTGATGCCGAGTATCACATGAAAACAAGTCAAGTTTAAGATGATTCTATTATGCTTTTTTTATGTACTAAATCGAGAAAAGATATAGTTTAGAATACCTTGCACTAAGTTATTACATATTTTTAATAAATTTCCCTATTTGATCAATTATTTATACAGGTGAATGGCGAATGGAATCTAGTCTTATTGATAGATCGTTGTAAATATTCTGAGTTAGGACCGTGTATGGTGAACGATACAATAATTTTATCAGTGAATACAATACAAATAGGGGGTTATATTCTAATAGGTGATGAATCTGGTCCATCTACAGAGAGATTTAGAGGATGTTTTGATAATGTTATGGTGAATAGAGAGGTAAAGTTTTTGGAGTAAATTTTCAGTTAAACTGTCACACTGTAATTAACTTATCCGGCTTTATTACAACATTTTATAAAGTTTCCATTTATATTCATTTCTGGTTATTGTGAATATTTGGTTCTATGATTATTATCTTTTGGACTCTGTCGTCAAGGGATTGTCTTCTACCTCAATTGTAAACTAGGTTAAACCAGAATGACTTGAATTACCATCATTCATATCTTTTGAAACGAAAAACTAGCTTAGAAGACACAATTTCGTTACTCCCCTTAATTCTATTACTGATCCACATGTGGTGCGTAAAACCTATGGAGTCCAGTATGATTGTATAAATTTATATGATGCTAAGATGCCAAACAGCGAAAGTCCCAGAAAATTTGTAAAATTCTCGGTAAAGGTACATACGTTCTAACAAACTTTGGCGTTCACTGAACGCTTTATTGACTTACGAAGATCAGCTGTATGTATTTGTATTTGAGATAACTTAAGTCCCGATAATGTTTGATGTAAAAATGCTTAATGTTAGTAAATACTCAATAAATGTGAAAGCAATTTACGTAGGATGGTTTAAAATATTTAACTTGTAAATGATATCCTCGTTACGTTAATGTTCATCAATCAATCCTGAAATTTAATTGAAATAAAATGTAGTCTATTTTATCCTTTTAGTTGATCGATTTCTACCCGGTACTTTTATCGCAAGGTTCTCGGCGTGGTTGTCCAGACTCTCAGAAAGGTTGTGTAAGAGGTAATGTAAAATTATGTGGAAAGTATGGGAAATGTCGAAATGCAATAAGTTCCACCGATATACTGACTTGTCAATGTGAATTAGGTTATCGACCTAATATAACAGGTGCACCGAAACCACATAGATGGCCATGTGAAACTGGTAAGTAAAGCTTTTAGAGAAACACATTTATGAATTCACTAAAGAAAAATTAACTAACTCTTCAATATATGCTGTTTGTATTCTTATAATTTTATCAAAATTTCTTAAAAAATGAATAAACGGATATACAAAATCTGACAATTAAATGAATAGCTGGACTGTTTTAAACTATCTATCTCTCATTGCAACTATGACATCTGATGAACATAATTACACAAATTGAAAAATGCAAGAGTATAAGGGACCGACTGATGTAACATTGGTCTTATTTGTAAGCAATGATGGATAGTGGCTAGCAGTGAAATCCAGGACGCGCGTTTCGACTGGTCAATTGCAGTCTTAAACCTCAATGGAAAGATACAAGCCAAATAATACCAAGTGAATTGGTCTTATTTATTATCAGAATTGTGTATAGTTTATTTAATAGAGTGTTCTGCTAAAATCTTTGTCAAATTCATAATTGTGACAACTCGTTTCTTTTTTTTAAAATTACTTTTTACTTATCATAGATTAAAAATTTATTGTATGTAGTCATATAATCTAAAAGCTAAATACAATCGAGTATGGTGTCCAGTTATTCATACTAATCTGGTTTATACTTATCTGATTACATTGATTTGCTTGAAAAGAAGCTGATTGATTTTATACTTTCTTTTAAAATATCTCAAAACTTAGATAAATAATAATTATTTGTCACATTGACAGAAATAAGAATGAAAGTGTCAAATAGTAAGTTGTACCGGGTATTATTCCTAAATAAAAATCTTAAATAATCGTAAAATCTATTAAATGGACAACTGATAGGGATTTTTAGTAACTGTATTAGATATATTCAAATGACTTAGCATATACCTAGGATATGCACAGATTTGTACATTAATAAAATAAATAATACATCATTTCTTAGACGATGGACAAATTACAGTTAACAAATGGTACGACAGATAATATTTTTGAAATATTCAATGCATGTACACGTTGGTACCAACGTCTTTAAATACAGCAATACGTGGTGCACTTTCGGCAAAACTGCATATATTCACCTTGCTAAAGAGTATCAAGAAATGTACTTCTAGGGTGTCAACTTTGAAGTGATTGTAATTACATAACATTGAAGCGTAGTTCACTTAGTGTCATATTCCTTTAGACTAATGGTCTCGTTGTAAGTTGTTTTACAAAATTAATTAAGATTTAATACTATGAAAACATGAAGTTGCTATCTATCCTGCAGATAACTAGTGCCAGTGTTTTGATTATATACATTTCTTCCAGAAAATGTATGCATTTTTCGTGTTGTGTGATTTCTACTTTTCAGTTTCTGATGGCTGGTCTACAACCAATGTAGTTTACAATGCATTATTCACTGATAAAGTTCCGAATCGTTTACGATTGAGCATAAGAACAAGAACTCAAACATTTATGGTTTTTGCAGTTGGTGCGTGGAAACTTTCTATAAGTGTGAGTCAATAATATTTTGATTTAAATATTAAATTCATTTGGAAATGAATCTTTTTCAAGTTATTCTATAAATGTATAAATATTTTCTGAAAATTAAATTCAAGTTATGTACTTATTTAATTGTTTATCACCATAACAGAATACATAGTCCGGAATTTAGAACAAAAGCTTAGTTTCTGTGAAAATTTTCAATTCAAGTAATTCAAATGCTTAATGTGGTTTTACTGTATGTATGACTACTCGTTGATGCTCTCATGATTACATCTACAAAGTTTAGATTAGCCTGAAAATTTCATTTTACATTCTGGGCTACTTAGCATGAAATAAGTAGTTTGTCATAAATCTTGAAAAGTATTCTGTGAGGGTTTTTCGTCGTTGATGACGAAAAAAATACCCATACTAGATTCTTGGTCCTTGAATTAGAGATATGTTGAAAGGGTAGGGTAAAGTGTCAGTAAAAGCAATAATATTCAAAAATTTGTTTCTGATTGTTTTGTTGATAGAATTTATGTATTGTTGTCAATAACTTTTATGGTGTTTTCCTCCTAATTATTTTAATTTAAAAAACATAAATTCAGACATGCCAATTTGATTTATAAAGCTAAAATAATGCCTAACAAATTGAAAAGCGAATTTCTTTCGCGTTCATTAATTGAAATATATATATGTGAAGATTTGAATTAAAAGATTTTTTATATTCCAAACTGAAATGTATTCTTGATCTTAATAGTCATTAAAAGACAGATTTTATAACAAAGTTGGCAATCAAACAGGAAACAGTTTTAGTCAATGGAAGGAAGAAGGCGTTTAAGTTTGTTTAAATCCTTTCAACCATACTTTTGATCTGTCTTAGTTCCGGAACAAAATATGAAATTGGAAGATTGTAAATCAATAAAGAATATCATGAACTAATCAAATATAGAACACCACTGGGAAACTGGAAGCACTAGACAGCTGTTTCCTTCTAGTATGAGACTTCTCAGCAGTGTGCATTTACGATCACACATGAAGGGTTCGAACCAAGGACCTTCGACCTCGTGCGAACGCTTAACCTTCAGACAAATAAACCGAGATCCAATAGTGTTAATGTCTAACTTTAACGAATACACGATATTGCGTGACCATCTTTAATTGCCTTTGGTAGGTAACAGTATCATGCCAGACACGGCTGAACTTCACTCGTTATGGCCTCTTGCTTGGACTCCAAGCATCACCTCTTGAAGGGAGTGACTAGTAGGTACATGATAATTATCACTATATGGTTGTGGAGATTAAGAGCTCACGCGAGCACGAAGGTCCTGGGTTTTGGGTCACGCTTGCGGGATCTTGGCTGCGCACTGTTGAAGAGTCCTATACTAGGACAAAAAGGCCGTTCAGTGCCTTCAGATTTTTGATGATAGTCTGACATTAAACGGTTCATGATCTCGATAAAATCTCAACAATCTCTACAACCGTGTGCTGGCAATGAAGAATAATTTTAGAGGTACGCTATTTCAGTAGAAAGTATGTTTCTCAGTATTTTCGTAAAGATAACTTAGAAGCAGTGCAAGTATCGTATGTTCTGTGACCTGAGAAACAGTTTATGGAGGATGTTAACGTTTCAGCTAGAGTGATGATATACAATATGAAATTTAAGATGGGGACTTTAATTAAGGATGTTAAATGAACAATTATTTCGTGGTTTACATCAATGAGCAAATCGAACGAATTTGGAACTAGTTATGAAACTTTTGTTGAGATCACGAGTTGATCTAATTTAGATAACCATTGAACATGACTTTACAACCTAACATGAAGCTCCTAAGCAGTCAGCATCCATAACACCGCAAACGTGAGTCGAACTAGGGCATCCAAGTTCATACACAAACGATCACATCCTAAACCAGTGATCCGGGATCCAGTGGTGTGAATGTCTGATTTCAGTTGGCTCATGATATTGTGGAACAGTGATTTATTGCTCTCGGTGGATAATTATTTTATATGTATATTGGCTCCAAAAAAATGACTTTAAGTTTACTACTAATGAGTCATAGAATAATGAATAAAAGCATACTTCGTACAGATTGAAACATGCACAATATTCGAAACAACTTATTATTCTTATGAAACTCTATTTGAAGAAATACAAGTATATTTTTAATGTTGTTTGGTATAAAGTGTAATTAGCTACAGATAGTATAAAAGCCATGGGATATTAAAATTTTAGTTCTATCTAATTCAGGATTCTCTGGAATACGTACTCATTATCTTGTATAATGTCATATAAAAAACTTTCAAATTTCGTGAGTATCATGGAATAATCCAGACTCTGAGATAGTACCTGATAGTTGATAGTTCTGTAACTCAGTCAGTTTCTGATATGTGTCACTGTTAGGCTGTGTCATTGATAATTGACTTTCTTACTTCTGACTCTGATGAAGCCTCAGGTTATGGAAGTTTAAGAAGATTACCAATACTCCATCTTAGGACTCATTTAATTCAAGAAACCTTTTTATTGAATACAGATGCAAACTTTGTGAATTTAGTGTGATGTAATGTCATGAATACTGAACGTCAAGAATTCATTAGTATGATGTTAAGATTATTAAGTTTTTGATTGAGATCATGAACTGGTTGATCTTAGACCATCATTGAAAACCTGGAAGCACCAGACAGCCGTTTCGTCCTACTGTGGACTTCTCAACAGTAAGCATCCACGATCTCGCTCGCGTGGTTGAAAGCCAGGTCCTTCGATCTCGCGCTAACGCCTAACCTCTAGACTACTGATCCGGTATCCAACAGTGTTAATGCCTAACTTCAACCAATCAAAGAAGTTGCGCGACCATCTTCCTTATTATTGTTAGGACCGGATAATCGCATAGTACTCTCCGACTTCCATTCCTTTATTAGAACTTTCTCACTAGTATCCTAACTATTTCTTACTAGTGTATTCTTTGCATTTCACTAAAAGTACAATGACTTTCTTCCTAAGGAAAAAAAAACGTATTCGACAACTTATATATTCACATAATACAACTCCCTTTATATCATACACATTACATATTTCGTACATGGCTAATTATGTCTGTATTTTGAATCTATCAGTAATAAAAAACATACATTATTGGTATATAAAATACAAAGTAATTCATCCACTAGTTAGTTATCAAAATCTTATGTAGAACTAACAAAAAATCAACATTGCTAATAAATAAATAAGAGAAAAATATTTCAAAAAAACGAAATATAAAAGATGAAAATGATATTTCATTGTATCAGTCATTCAGTCAGTCATCAACAACATAGAACTTCGTACGTACACAAATCAGTTCGAGTTGCCATACCACATTAGCACAGAGATACAATTGTCAATTCAAATCTCATCGTGGTAGAGGCAGTAAAATTATAAGCAGTAATCAGAAAGATTAGGGTTTGATAATGAAATATATTTACAAAGTGAAAAAAAGGGGTGACATGATAAATTCAGAAGATTAGAATTTGAGAGAACACAAACAATAGATTCACATGTACCATTAGTTAATATTTACATAATTATGTAAATTTCTTTTTCTTAAAGAAAAAACAAACAAACAAAACAACAATAGTCAACATACTAAATTGTGATAGAAATAAAATAACAACAGCAACAACAGAACAATTCAACTTTACAGTTAACCATGTAGGTAAAAGATGAAAACAAAATGTTCTTAATAATAAGAACACATACAAAATAGTCACTGTTAACTTACTTGTTTTGAAAGGTCATGAATTGGATCTTTTTTGTTGATGATTAAATTTCTATTTTAAATAATATGGTTAATAATGTTTTATTGAATAAAATGATTCTATTGAATAATGAATATCCGAATATTTGGAAAAATATAGAAACAATAAATTCAGTATTTAAAATAGAAAGGATAAATTCACTTTTGAATTCAATAGGCTAATTATTGAAGTATTTATTTGTCTTATAAGTAAACACTATATGCTTATATGAAACAAATATATGTATATTATATTATCAGTCTCATAATAGAAAATATAAGACTACATGATATCTGATAACTTAAAAGATATATTTGTATAAAAGATATTTAGTATCATAAGGGGGTTTGTGGAGATTGATAGTTATTTCAATAGTTGAGGTAATGAATCAATTGAAGCTAGACCATCATGGAAAACTTGGAAGTACTGGACAGCCGTTTCTTCCTATGATGTAACTTGTTAGCAGTGCGCATCCACGATCCCGACTCTCAGGATTTGAACCCGGAGCCGTACAGTGCGTCTAGCTTTTTCATGATAATCAAGCATCAATTGAATCATGATCTCAATTAATAAATTTAATATAATATTCACAAAACCCCTTCTGATACTAATCAACATATGCTCACTAGTGACTGGCTTCAAGAGATATATTCTGGAGTTCTAGTGAGAAGCACTGATCAGTGGAGTTCAACCGGGTCTGTTATCAGATAGTAACTCACTGAAGACAATGGTGGATGTGTCGCTCAATTTTGTGGATTAGTTGAATTTAGGCATTAACACCATTGGATGCCGGCTGGCTCAGTGGTCTCATGGTTAAGCGCTCGCTCGCTCGCGAGACTGATGGGTCATGGGTTCGAATCTCCTGATGCGGGATCGTGGATGCGCACTGCTGAGGAGTCCCACAATAGGGCGAAACGGCCATCCAGTGCTTCTAGGTTTTGCATGGTGATCTAGCTTCAATTGACTCATGATTTCAACCACTGAAATTACTACAATCTCCACAAAACACCTTCTGATACTAATTATTATTTTGACAATTATTCGTTAGAAATGATTACATAAGTATCTTTCATAAACTTTCTTAAACCATAGTATATCAGTCACAAAAAAGATGATACTGTTAAACAGTAAAGTTGACGATAGTTTCAGTTAAACAAGATCTTGAAAAAAAGAAATGATCAACAACGAAAAATATATACATTATTAACTTTCTACCCAATAGCCAAATTATCTGAAACCATCAGGTTCAAAACTCC